CAGTTATGTATTTGTGCGTGCCTTGAAAATAATGGGAAGTACAATTATACAGCATTTCTAAATAAACCACAATTGCAATTGCTAAAATTTGAATTAGTTCTAGTTAAACGAGAGAGATTTAGACTTCGATCATTTGTTGGCAAATATTATTAAAAGAAATGGGAATAAAAAATTTTGCTAGTTAAAAGGAATCGTTATCATTATTTTTTGCCGAAACTAACAATGAAGTCAGAATTCATTTTTGAATAAAATAATAAAGCAAATTTTGTCTGTCCACGTGATATTTGGTAATGATCAAAAGACTTAGTCAATAAAAATAATACAACTTACATAGGAAAAGAGCAAAAAAGACTGAATAAAACAAAAAATAATATTCAAAGGTGCTAACATTGAAATTATTGTAAGAAAATGGCGCCGATGTAATGTTCAAAATTAAAAAAGGAATAAGATTTTGCACAATGTTATTCCACCAGAAGCAAATAAAAAAAAAAGAAAAAACGTATGCTTGAAATTGGTTTTTGGTAAAGTTGGATTCGGCAATGTCTGAAATGTTCTCACATTCATGTCAGAATTTTATGAAGATAAAAACTATCAAATAGAAGATATATTTCCGGTTTTTATGAATCTTGAATACGACGACTCACTCGTCAATCCTTACGATAAATACAATATTTTTTGCCAAATCACTAGGCAAAGAAACAAGTTCTTTTAATTTTCTGCGAAATTACTGAAAATATTGAGCAGTCTCTTTCTTATTGGCTTTGAATTGAAATCTGAACATGATGAAAAGTTATAGACTTAACAATCATAAAGATATAATAGATTAATATTTTAAAACTTTATTAGTAAATTAAAATTTAAATGATAAACTTATGTAGTTGTAATAAATAATTTACATTTTATATGAAAAGTAAGAAAAGTGATGCGAAGTTTTATTATGAATCTAAAATTTATCTTTGTGCAGTGCAGAACTAATTGATGCAGTAAATTTAACAATATGTTATGAAAGCTTCTTCAGTTATAGAAGTTCTCAATAGTATTCGGTTGAGGAAGTTATGCCAAACGATGCTGTAGGTTTGATTGAAATGTATAAATGAAATTGAAACTACTTTATAGTCTACTCATTTTATCCATTGTAACCATTGTTGAACAGTGGAACATGGCTCATAATTCAATGAAAGTGTGATGAAGGAAGAGGCGCACGTGAGATTATAACTCATTCTTGATTGTGAAGGTCATAAAACTTTCCTCGAAATTGGTATTTGCCATACTCTAATTCCTCTACGCCTTTCCATATACATCTCTTTACTGTCTTATTATCTTCCTCCTTACTAGTATCAATTAAGTTCCTGAAAGCTTCTTTCGAATTATGGTTGAAATTCTCATAGTTGCTGCTGTGTTTTTATTATCACCGTTCTTTCAATTTAATATCATATAAGTATTACCTTTATCTGTCATTATCATCAGTTCCACTCGACCCATTTATTGTGTGTGATAGTGCTCCGAGCTGACTTCACTATATTACACTTTTCTTTCATTAAGAAATTAAATTGTCTATTTTACTAATTTTTTGGTTTATTTTTATCAACATTAAATGCTTTTTCTATTGTTTGCTTATTAAACCTTATTTAACCTTTAATTTTAAGGCATTTATTTGCCGACTTTCGAAATGAATCTAAACTTTTTAAATGCTTCGTAAACACTGAAAATTTGGAGAATCTATTGCACCACGTATTATCTTTAGTCATCAAATAATAAAAATTCCTATCAACTTTATGAAACTAATGTGCAGAAAGGTAAGTTCATAGTGATGCTAATGATCCAAAAATAGAGATCTTGAAAGATAAGCCAGCCTGTTTTTTAATTTTGAAGCAATTTTGGTAGTTGCAAGTATCCTGAACATCTATGAAATATTCTTGGTCTTCTAGGACTGACAAATATGTTGATTTTATGGACTGTTGCTGATAAAGCGAGCTTCAAGATAAATCTCGATAATTTCACGATCAAAAACTAAGAGGTCGTAAGATTGGCAGTCTTAAAGTCGAATAGCAATTTACATATTTACGTATTATGTAAACAATAAAATAGAGAAGTACTGGGAAAGAATTAAATCATAAATGATATAATGATATGGTGTAGCAAAAAAGGTATTGAAATTTGGAAAATTTTCCGCGATATAAGTAGATTTGCCATTCTAATTGTCTGAAGTTTTTTATTCTGTTCTAAAGCACTTCAGATAGAGCAACTGATAAACTATTTAATTAAAACTTTCTAGAAGTGCGAAGAAATAATCAGTAGACGAGTAAGTGAATGTTAGGGAAACCTAATAAGTAAGTAATATTTTTCCAGATGATTTTCCATTTTACAAATTGACATCCATGAAAAAATGAATGACATGAAGACCAATGATCAGTGATTAAACCAGCAACGAAAGTTAATTCTTTCAGAAGATTGCCAAAGATGTCATAAAATTTCACATAATTTATGTGTAAAACAGTTAGCCTATCTTGCTCGGAAATCAATTTGCAAGCAAGTCTTGTGTTCTATTCATTGATTATGGGCTAAAAGAAAAGGAAGATCGTTGCGATAAATGGCTATATGCTTGGTGGTACCAGTTAGACTGACTCATCCACAAGAAACATCAGTGGCTTCCAAAGGCTTATGCTAGTCTTTGCATGAATTTTGGGCCAATTATGCTGGCCATACCCAGTTAGAATAGAATAACTTTTGAACGAAAACAGAATAAGGAAATCGATGTTATATTTTGCAAAAAGAAAAAAATGAAAGATAAGAGTGTGGCGCAGTAAAGCAGAAAAGGAAAATCTATATTCAGAGTAATGGTTTGGACAACACTCATCTCATATCTCATTTGAATACTGCTCATTTCTCTCATCCTTTACCTCGTGCTTTCCTAGTTGTCGATCCGTTAATCTTTACTTTGTTTAGCCAAATTCAGAAATGATGGTAATACTAATCAACCACTCGTGGAGATCTTACATGTTAGAATTTCATTTTGACCCTTTAGAGTTTGTTTACTGTACTCATTCTTTGACTTCATAAGTTATATTTTGCATCATTATTTATAGGAATTCTTTTTAATGCTAGGCATCAGACTGTTTTTGGGAAGAATAATAATTTTTGCACAGATGTTTTGAATTTAAGTTCTCTATCCTGAAATTTGTCTTTGCCTTTCTTTGTATTTAGCTCAGTGTATAATTAGTGTAAAGTGATTTAGTTTATAATCATATTAATTATCTACATGTATTAATCATAAAATACACGTTCCTTCTGATTTAATTTAATTAGAAATTTTCTAGATAAGTTATTATATCAGTCCAACCATATGTATCATTTAATACAGTGAATCAGTTGAACAAAAAGGACTAAGAGAGAAGAAGAAGGGAATCAAATTGTATTTTACCCAAAAGGAGGTGTTCATCGACATAAAGAGGGAAGGATACGGAGAATGCTGCAGTACACAACAGGTGGTCCTGATGGGCTGATCGAATTACTGAGAGAAAGGAAAGATGACATAATGAAGGTCATTTTGAACCAATGTAGAATTTTTTCATTAATGCTTGATGAGAAATTGGAGTAGTGTGGTGTCACCATAAATGGTCAGTCATCTTGACATACTTGTAGCAGCGATGGATAGTATAACTGTGAAGTTTTTAATTGAAATGCCTTTCAGGAAGTGCAATTAATGATACATATGATATGTAGTAGTTTATCACTAGCTTGTACTCATAATTTATGTTATTATTATTATTCAATAATCTCTCAAATCCTTTTGAAAAGGAGTATTGAGTAGAACATTAAAATATTTACATGCTAGATCTTTGACATCAGGATTGAGATGCCTTTGTTCAGGAGCGCTAACAATTGGAGATTAGAACAGTGTAAATAAAGCTTAACTTAAATAACCACCGAAATCGTGAGGAGCGTCCTTCATTTTCCTGTACTTTAATATATTACTGTCTTTTTGCTGTCAATCATTACTCTTTATTTTTCCTATTTGTTAAGTTATTATCAGATCTTTATGGTCCCTTTGCGTACCCGCCTCTTTTATAATCCAAATTAGGTATTTCTTTTCACTCGAAAACAATACCACCACTATTTTCTGTTTCATTTCTTTCATTCTTTTATCATATCAGTGCCTATATTGCTGCTGTCTGTCTGTCAACATTACATATCTTCTGAAACACACACTCCTACGGAAGAATAATGATGCGTCATCGCTGTTGTTAGTATTACGAATTATTTGCTCTCCTGAACCTACCGCTTATTTCAATTTCTGTAATTTAACAACCCAGTTCTCGAATCTCTCCAAGACAGTAACTTAACATAGAAGTAATCAGAAAAAGCAGTGAGATAAAATGAGAAGAAAAGGACTGATGAGAAAAGAGAAAAAGGAGAGGTGTCTGTAAAAGAATCTCTGTCGTAGTTTCCATGGCCCGGTTGATATTTCAAGTCTTACTAATTAAAAGAGGCAGTGAGACAGTTTCCTTATTTTATAATTAAATAAATTATTAGTATTATCATTACTTATGTTTTTTCAAATCATCGCTTTTAACGATATTCCAATCTTCATTATGTTTCAACCGTCTTTTAAAGCTCTAAATTTATTACATTTATTCAGATCTATGACCATGTCAACACTCTTCCAACATTTTTTTCCATTCTTTCTGCGGACACATCCTCAAAAGTCATTCTACCTATTCTCAGAGGATCTTATTGCAATGCTTCAAATCTAATTTTTAGATTTTCAAAAAATTTATCTGACATCAAATGTTCCACTAGAGTTACGCATATTTCAGTCATTTTTTTATCACTGATTCACGAAATTTTAAAAGGATTCTTTGCTACATATGAATCCGACAATCATCTCAACTGCTAATCTGTTTGTTTTTTTTTTTTTCTTTTTTTTTTACGACCTTCAAGTCGTACCCAAATATTTCGAAAGTTAAAGCTGAAGTTCGGCAATCAGCTAGCTCTCCTTTTTATATAGCGGAAGTGGACGGAACAGAAGTGATGAATGAACTCATGTCTTCTGAAGGCTTTCCTTGGCTTACCAATATACTGGTCACATTACTCAGCTTGCTTTGTCCACAAGCGACACGATAGCTATAAGAGTTACCGATGGTCCTGTCATAATGTGATCTCCGTATCTATATATATCCATTTCAGCGATATTTGCCTGTCCATCATCCATTGGTCCGTCTCTTCGTCTGCCCATTCTGTTCCTTCTTTTCCCCACTTTAATCGCCATTTCAAATCGAGTAAACCGAAAAAGAAAATGGGTTGAAATCACTGGCTATACCTTTCTTCCCGTCACCCCTCCCCAATGTTGGCCATTTTCAGGCCTCGCATCACACAGTGACTCATCATCAGATGGAGCATCAGCAGCAACAAGCAAAAGCCAAACCATCAGATAGCTAAACGTCGTTATCAAATTTTCTCTTATATTATAAATTTCTCCCTTATACACCAGTCAGCCAACTGAATTAGAAGTGATTACAATATATTAAGGATTAATTTTCAAAATTATGTGCGTAATAGTCATAATAGTTATTCTAGTTTGATTCCATGTTTTCATAATAGCTATGGAATAGTAGTGCACTTTATTCAGTGCACCATTTTGCGTGTTGCAAGAGTGATCAAGAAACAATCTTGAGATAGAAATGTTAGCCAAGTTTGACGTAGTTTTTTTGGATTATTTCATTTAAACAGATGCTGCATGCTTTAATATACACATGTTAGTATAGCAGTGGATACTCTGTTCGGTCAAAGGTTATTATACTATCCTTGAAGTACTTGTTGTTACATCTCATTAAAAATAGCATGGTGACACATTTCTTCCCAGTCATTTTTATAATAAATTTACAACGTGATATTCACTGCATATTGTTTTTGTTTATTGTTTGTAGAGGAAGAATATAGGACAAATATTACAAGTGCGTTCCTTCCATCTTTTACGGTTATAACTATCGTTTTCCTTCCTGTCTTTGACCAACAATCATTCATTGTGATGACTTCTCTCATATTGTGAGGTTGATGTCATTTGTCATTCATGCACATCTGTACTGAGCACTTTGTGTACATACAACTTATTTTAACTTCTATCACTTTGCTCTGCTTCCATCAGTTAATGAAATTCAATGACAGTCCCAATCCTTAATAAGTTGTTCTTCTCAACATTGGTGTGATACATTTATCTCTTGATCTAATTTTCTTTATTTAATTTAGTACAAAAAGACTTCAGTTTTCCCTTTCTATCACACTATTCCATTTCAATGAGACTATGTTGCTAGGTCGGCTTACTGAAACGATAGGCTGTTGTTGAGGAAAAAAAATGAGGTCATAGAGAATATCGTTTCAGTTCACACTGAGCATGTTTTGAATCTTTTGGTGGACAGTACTCAATTTATTCTGTCACTAGAACAAATGATATTGAATGAATTTTGCTCTCGACATAAATCATCGAGACGAAAACTTTCGTGAAATTTTTGAAAAAAACTTTGCAAAAATTTAAGTCTTCTTAAGATCTACAATTCTTTCTTCGGTGAATCATTAGTGTCATAGTGGACAGCGACGCCAAAAAAAACCTATTTACCCTGCGTCAACCGATCTGCGTCATGGTGAATACCTTTGATAGATTGATTAGCGCGGTGACAATCATTGATCATTCATCTCTATGATCATCTGGCAAATATATATATTATATCACACACATGACCCACACTGTCCGTACCTCATTTACTATTATCCAATTTCTTTGTCTACCACTGAAATTCTCATCTCTCATGGCATTAGCATGAAGCTAAATAATCTAGGACTTTGTTAACAAATAGAAATCTTTGAATGAATAAGAATGACCCACTCCTAATTTTCGATTCGTTTGACAGACTCTATTATGCTTCGTTCAAACGTTGCAGAATATCTTCTCTTTTTCGATTTCAAGTATTTTCTGCATTTTTCTGCGCTTCATTTCCAATTCAGACGCGGAAATTATTATTGTTTGATCGTTCTTATATCTGTGGGAAAAAGATCGAAAATTGTAACCATATGTGTGTATAGTCTCACTAAGTTACTTACCGAAAGAATAATTTTTTTGTTCATATTTTTTTACTTCTGATATGAATAATTCTTCGACAGAATAAAAAGTTTGAATTGCCATTCACTTATTTGACAAATTTGTGGTCCCACTTATTTGCTAATAATGAAAAACTTTTGAAAAGAGAGAATGTGATTCATTTTCCTACAATTTATGGAATTTATCGTCTTCCTTCATCATTCATTTAGTTGAAACACTATAAATCTATCACTAAGATTGAAATTTCATTGAAATGAAATCAACCAAAGCTGGATGATAAAAATAGCAGAAAATATTGTACACAAACAATTTTCTTAAATGATGTATCTATATTACTATGAATGATATTTGTCATTAGTAAGCCAAACCAAATTAAGCTGAGATATAGTGGAAATGAATAATGGAATTCCCAAAGATATGCCTATTTCGGCCTTTAATAATTTATTCTCTGTTATAATATATATGAAAATTGTTTAGGACCATACTAATACTATAGAACTACGGCTATATAGTTTGGATAAGTAAGGCAAACTGTTTCATCAAAGTAATTGCTGTCCTGCTCTTAATATTGAGTTATCACCGCTCATTTCCATCTGATAACTGCTAGAAACAGAAATGAAGATTTGCAGGAATATTTACCGCGAAGTATTTTGTGAGGCATGGATGAAGAAGCGATAGCTACAGAACATCTTTCCTATGGAAAAGGTTCAAAGAAATATGAAATATTGTAAAATAAGTGCTTTAGATTTTAATTTATTCGACAAGAAGTTAAAATTTTAATTTTCAACATTTTATTATATGGTATAGTCAATTTAGTACAAACGCTTTTTGACCTGTTGTTCTAAAGCTGATATTGATCTAAACAAAATCATTCCTCTAATCCTGATAGCAATCTCTTCCTTTTTTGGCATTTTGTTTAAACTCCAATTCATGCTTAAAAACTTTTAGTAATTATTTATTTAAAATATGCTCGTAAACTTTGTAGTTTCTTTAAAAAATGATAAGTAGTAGTTCCAGATGAATTGCAAACTACAAATGATGTAATTCAGGAGGATAATTTAGGAACCATATCTAATGCTACAGTTGATGCAACCAGTCCATTCAATAAACATGTAAGCTTCCTATTTACCCATTATTATTTTGGAAAGTTCGAGTTATTAATCTAATAAAAGACTTGAAAAGCTTTTTCTTATTGAAGTTCTCATCTTCTAAATTTTTTTACTAAGTTTAAGAACTTTGAGCACCCCATTTTATTTTCTGCCTTTCGAAAGGTTTTCAGGATTATTCGGTACTCGGTGATGTTTATCCGATGAAACCAAAAAAGAGGATTTCTCTAGGTGAACATAATGAAAATACGACCAAAGAACTTAGAGAAAATGCCATTCTGGGGTCAGAAAATTGGGATGGCCTTTGCGGGAAAGAGAGCTCTCGGGAAATACCGCTCCTTTCTGACCATCGGATAGAACCAGCGAATAAAACACACAGTGTCCGAGAAGAATTACAGGATGACATTACTCCAGAAATCCATAAATCACAACTAGAGATTGACAAACGAAGATGCAACTTCATGCCTTATGACTGCAATGATTTTAATGGCAGCTTTGCTTACAATAACGTTATCAATAGCATTAATAATGACAACGAAGGTGATGTAAAATACAGTGATAATAATAGTGACAACACTGTTAACAATATTTTGGCCAAAGAAAGGAATGATAGTCCATGGGCCGTCTTGTCGCCAGATAACATGATATCAAATGGCGCTCAGTATACCTCATTGGCAAAACAAACCAGTGATTTCGAATTGATCAGTCACAATAAGGATGCATTTGCAACTTGGACAAATGACTCTTCAGATAATGCTGATAGCAGTTTGAAGGTAAGCTTTACTGATGAAAGTGCTGCAATGTGCTTCTTTCTAGAAAGCCGCATCTGTTATCCTAAAACATCTAAAGATTTTGGAGAAGCGAATATTTCTTCATGGGTACAATACGCACCATTACATTTGACAATAGAAGCGATGGGGACAGCTGCACAATTGATGTGCCGCGAGAGCTAATGAGGTGACAAGATGACGATATCTGAGAGCAGCAAGGCATTTCTCTTTTCTGGCCATATATTCATCATCATTTCTCTGGAAAGGATTTATCTTATTATTCGTACCTCATTTAGTGCAAATTTCAGTATATTTTTTATTCCATATAATAAATACTTGGATGTTTCAGGATAACCCGACAAAAGAGGAATCATTGGAAAATTCAACAAAAAAAACGGATGATGTCGGGAAAATCTCGGATAGGCTAGAAGCATTCAATAGGAATAATGAAGTAGTTTTCAATTCTTTTAAAAACCATCTTTCTGAAACTTAAAAGTTTGGGTTGTATTTGAATCATATCGCACCTTTAGATGAAAAAAACAAAAACAAAAACAAACAGTGGATGAAAATAGATGATTGCTAACTATTTCTCTTTATAGGTATCTAGTATTCCTATAAAAACTTCGAGGCCGAAAATTGAAGAGACCGAAATGCCAACAAAAGGTTTATCGTATACCATTCTCTCCAAAAAAAAAAAAAAAAGAATTCAGAACATTATGAGGCTCAATTAAAGTTATTATAATTGATCTTCTTTGGAAGAAAATCAATCCAGTCTTTATCTTCAAAAGACTGAAGTAATTTGGCATTTACATAAACAAATTTTCAAAAATTTGTAACTAAAAACCTTTGAAATAATTAGCGAAGGACGAAATGGAGGGCAAAGAGCACAAAACTACTAGTTTCAAAATATGGATTGGCATTGATTTTACTCCAAAAAGCAGTTTGCTGCACAATGTGAAAAATGAGCAAAATATAAATTATATTGCAGTCAATATGAATAAGCAAAGCGATTCATGAAAACATCAGAGTTGATCGTATGTTTCAGGAGTTGTATCCAACTTGAAATCCTTGTTTGAAAGCAACGCTGTGCACAACAGTAATGACACCTGCAAAAGTGCAAACTACAAACTTGGCCAGTTTATAGTTTTTTAAATTTTCAATCGGTTTTACTATTATTAAATGCATATTTTAAGACTTCAGTGGGCCAAAACACCGGTTAAATCAGTTAAACACAGAACTCAAAATGAAAATGGCAAACAAAATCCGACATACCTATTTCGGAGGGTTCCCATTAGCAACCAAGCAAATCTGCTTCAGCCTGCTAGAGATAAGATAATAAACGAGGGATAGAATTTGAACTCACTTTGCTTGTGTAATTTGTTCTATTAGTATACTTATCTGCATGAAATCACTATGATATTAGTTCCTTTATATCCACTCAATTACTTTTTTAAAATTATTTTTCAATAAAATACACTGAATTGCAGAATATGGAGTTGGTCGATCATCGGGTACTTTAAATAAAGGCGTGTTTCACTAATACGCCACAATATCATCTGTCCTTGAAATTATTCTTTACGATATTTTGTTGATTACTTTGCAATATATGTTTAACTATATACAATCTAACATTTAACATTTAAGCGGATACAAACCGCATATATTATTTACTTATATATGCATTGATAATAACAAAGTTTCGCTCTATGTTAATCACTTTTTCTTATAGTAAAATAACCAGTTATCCATCTTTATCTCCAAAATAACTTTGTAACTAATAAATTTGGCGTTTTCTACTAATACCATATCACACACACATACACATGCTGACAACAAGATGAAGAGTCATTAGCAGGGAACTTGATGATGACAGATTTCTTGTTAACTGTGCCAGTCATTAGCCGATATCGTAAGAATTAAACAGAAAAATAGAGAAACATCGAAACGTTTTTCTTTTGCTGCTCACAATGAATAGCGAAAGATCGCCCTAAATATTCGATTCGGGTTTTTCCAATGCTGATTATTTAGAAATTGAAAATAGTGTAAATGAGTTAAGGTTAGCAACATACGAAATCCTTCTTATAAAAGACTTTCTTTAAATCCTTATAACTACATAACCAGCATGCAATCCTTATAACTACAAGAACTAAGATCTGAAAGTCAATTTTTACTGAAAGAACAATAAAGAATGGAATAGAAATAAACAACAACTGACAATAAATGATAAATGTGTCCCGAACGTAAGGAATCGCTGGCCTTATCAGTGAATGCAGCAAAATAATACAAGCCGACTATTTGTGCGGCACAATTATCTCAAAATTAAAATTAGTTTCCGAGTGGAAGCATCAACGTGAAAGATTTTGGAAAGTAAAATAAGAATTTGAATTTAAAATTTCAGGATGTGAACTGAGAAGAATCTTGAGCATAAATTTGAATATAACTGCAATTGAAATGGTCGAATTAAGCGATATCACGAAATCAAGAGAAAACCGAACTAAAATGAGTAGAACCAAAAGATTATAAATAATAAGATTTCATACCAAAATCCAAAGCTCGTAAAAAAGCGGCAATTCAGCCGAGGCAAAGCATTTAGTGTGTTAACAAATATCCGGAAAAACATTCAAGAGTATAACAGGCTTAACGGAATAACATTGAAACAATTTGCAAAAAAAATTGGAACAGTAACTGCTTTCAGGAATATTAAGAATATTCTAAAAGCTGAACGATTCGCTTTATCTTAGTGGTACATACAAAAAAATTCAGATAGATCATTGCGTATCGGCAGATAAAATTTTGAGTTGATCAGAATCTAGATGACAGAGAAATAGATGCAGCAGGAGTTTTTTGCAAAGTCTTGAATAGTTTCAGGTTCTCAACTGTCAAGAGTTTTTTTTTTTTTTTTTATTTTTTTTTTTTTTTTTTTATTAATCCTAAAGTAAATCAAAATTTAACAAGAATTTGAGAAATCAGACTGTACAGTAAAGTTTAAGATACAATGAAAAAATCCAATATGTCAATATGTCATCAAACAAAAAAGCAAGAAATATTGATTTGGCTGACGGTTTCGTATCCTGATGTAAAGGTGGCAAGTTTTGAACTTCAAATTAAACCTTTCATTTCCTCAAAAGTGCCTAGAACACTTCAATTGAACCAATTCAGTTGGTTAGAATTGAGATTTCGAATTTAATCGGTGTGATTAAAAATTTTGGTCAGACAATTTTTCTTACAACCATGTTTGCAAGAAAATCTGATAACAGCTTTTTGATTTTCATTAATGAGATATATGTTATGAATATGAGTATGATACTGCAGTTGAAAGTTGAAAGTAAAAATATTCAGCGAATAGGCACAAAATTTATGATTCCAGTATAACTGAGAAAAAAATAACTACATATTTGTAATGTCACTGAAATTATGAAAGCAAATAAACCAGAAAAAAACAGCTGTCAAATAAAGCAGATTGATAAGCATAGCAAAACAAGAAAATAGTAATGTTTAATTCAATGATTTGATAAAATTACTGGTTTTTGACCCAAATTTAAACGAATTAGACAAGCAATCATGTATGAGTGTTGCGTGCTCAATTAAGGAAATCAAATATCATTTTATAATAAATAATTATTAACAAATTGGCAACTGGGCCAAACTTTTCTTTGATTTATTAGATCTTTGAAATCCCATATAATCAATTAAGGGAATCACATATCATTTTAAATTTATGATTCCAGAATAACTGAGAAAAAAACAACTAAATATTTATAATATCACTGAAATTATGAAAGAAATAAATCAGAAAAAAAAACAATTTCTGTATTAGCACTTTATCACTTAACTAGGTAAAGGAATGAGTATCAAAATTCGAACAGTAATAACAGTTAAAAGAATTACAAGTGAAATTTATTAAAGTCACGAAGAGACAAATTCATAAAATTTTCGCTTTTTAATATTCATTTTCCCTTAATATTTCACTTAATTTTTTTTTTCTCATTTTTTTGCGAAAAGTGCGGATGCCTATTTGTTATTAATTCAGAATATGCAAAACATATGTCTTTCAATTCCAAATTACCTAGCTATATTACTTCATCACTAATTTTTCTTGTAGATTTCAGAACAGCTAGGTAGTCAGCTAATTGAATTTCTTCTCATCTAAAACGTTTGATTCCATGCATTCCTCCTTGAGTGCTTGCAGTGAATGCACCGCAGCTGTTGTTTCTTCTTCCTCACTTCTCCGAATTACCTTAACATTAAGCTTTCATCACTTACAGAATTTCATTATTTAATTTGCATTTTTCTTTAAATTAATTTGTCAATATGATGACGAAAACGAAGTTTCTGAATCAAAATGGATATTAAAGTATGAATTTGTAAGTAAAGAACCTCAGTTGGTATACCAACAGTTGTAATTATCTCTGTCTCTGATGTTGTGTCGTAATGACTGGTTGAGAATAATGCTTGGGTCAAAACATTACCAGCATTCAAGCCTGTAGACCAAATTACAGTATAATTCGAATGCACCATCCAAAAAAATGGAAATAAATACGAGAGAGACAATAAGTGAGCTTTGATACTAGTTGTTAAATGATATTGAAAAAAATACCTGGAAGAGAAATGTCTTGAGATGTATCATATTGAGTTCCAGTATTCCATGCAAACAGCTGATCATCATTCACTGAACCGACCGATGAAATAACATTGTAAGGATGGACCAGATCATTAACTGTTTCAACAGCCGAACCGAAGGAACTACTTGCTGAAATTTTAGTGGTATCAGAACTTTCCATTCAGTAGAGAAAGAACTGTTTCCAGAAAATTGATGTTTTTGACATCCCAAGATTTGATATTTCTTAAGCGGAACCTACCGGACTGAGAACTTTCGTAGGTACGGCTAGCTCGGTTATGATGATTGCCTAACTTTTTCGATGCTGCAGGTTGTCTCAAAATTCCATTGCCTTCCGACTTTTGTTTTCGCTTCCGCGTTTGCAGAGTTCCTTCTTTTTTCATTGATATTGGACGTTGTACTTGATGAAGTTTGTAATATAATCCGCAAGCACTAAGCAAGAAAATAGTTAAGTAACTAGATGATAAAGCTTCTGATCATTCCTCAGAATAAATTGCCTCCAAATGAGTTACAATTCCAGCACTGCGATTTTATTCCTAAGACAAAAGTTATATACATAGAATTTTGCGACAACACAAACGTTATTATATACAAACAAAAGTTATCATATGCATAACAAATTTGATTAAAGACGCACTTGCATACCGGATGTCCATCAGCATCCCTTCTCCATAAGGTTGTGTTGGTTCCCCGACAGTTTGCACAAACCAGGCCTTGTCTTCGTTGGGAATTATTCTGAGGCTGAAATTTTATCAATGAAAAATGGAAAATTTACAAAAATATTTCAAAAAATTTTTCGAAATGATTTAAGTTGGAAAAAAGTTTGTGCCTCTGTAGTTTTTAAAAAATGAATGAATATCTTAATGTATTGGTCATCAAAAAAAAAAAAACTCAAATAAATCAGGGAAAACTAGAAAATAAAAAATTTGTCGTGCTTCCCTACTTTCTAACTTTGTAAATTCATGTATGCAGCTGGTAAAAGTTTCAAAACTAATTTGTTATTACTTGATTTTTTCTCTGCTGTTGTCGACTTCGGGCGCCAGAAGAACTGCTTCGAGTGGATTGCTGTTGTCCATTAACTAATGCTTGTTCGCTGTTGTCAGCAATTCCGCAAGAAGTGTTCAAAAATGGCGAATATGAAACAATGTGCTACAAGGCAGAATTTCAGTGGTTTTAATTTAAGGAAAATTTTCTACCATTTCTTCTCTTGGATATTTTTTCAGACTTTTCCTTAATTTGTTTAAACTTAATCACCCACGATGAGTCATTTCTATTCAACTTTTTATAAATTAATTCTGGTAACAACACAATAACACATTGGTTTTCATTTCTTTGTAATTTGGACAGAATTATTAATTCATAGACAACATTTTGAAAATTTACTTCAACTCACTTGCCATAATCTTCAGCGTATTCTAAATTGAATTTGAATTATTTGAAAGTTGCTTTAATTGCTTATTTGATTTTATCAGTATTTGGAAAATTTTTTGTGAATTACAGATTGCAATTCGTTTCCCTCCTAAAATAATGCTTGAAGACATACTTGTGACATTTCTGATCGATTAGTACTGTAATGTATCATGAGATCGGATGCGCATTTGGCGCAGATTACTGAAGTACCACTGCATGCAATATCCGAAGTATAAATGCCACATTGTTGACATTGTGCTGATTGTATCGCAGAATGTGCGATAGTTCCGTTTAACTAGAATTATTTGATTCTTTTTTTATTGTCTATCTGAATAAAATTTTCTTGAATGATACGATATTTGTGCAGATTGAGAATGGAAGAAACTAATAATTCAAATTTTTTTTCGAAGTCGCTGGAAGCATGCTTTTTAAACAGAATATCATTTCATTTCGTTTCTTTGCAAAATCAAATGTTTTCTCGAAAAAGTTGAAGACATATTGTTTTTTCTAAGGTATTTCAAACTTAGGAAAATTGAACATATACTGTTTGAGAAGGAAAAACACAAAGATTTCCATCCACACCGGTTCGCTGCTGTAATTGATAGGAAGAAAGCGAATCATAATTAGTATTCATTCGAAAAGGATCATAACTGCTGGAATTAATCAAGAAGTCCAAAATTATTAAAATGTTGAAAAGATTTAAGAGAAGTTTCATTTAAGCACCAAACCAACAAGTTTCACACAAAAAGCGAACCGTAGCTTACAGTGAGTGATTAACGCTATATTATGAGTCACTTTTGATAATGCTTTTAGATCTAACTTCAAATTTTGTTTACGCCAAGAAATCACAATTAATTTGATCAATTTTTTGAGATCTTTCTGGACAAATTAAACTAAATAATGAAAGCCTGCATTACAGAACCTGGATAAATGTGTTGTAGCAGTGGCGGCAGTATTATATGTTTGTATAGCAGTTGACGGCATCAGTTCGGTACTCAGTGACTGCTGCATTAGATAGGCCTGCGACGGCACTCCGGCATAGTAATATTGTGGTGTGGCAAGAGCTGCCGCTGCTGCTGCTGTCGAACAGCTGGGATACAGGCTGACGCCGGACTGACTCATCCATTCCGGATAATGATGGCATGAAACTGCTGTTGATAATTCTGGAGATGGTTAGCTAAGTGATAAACTGATGATTGCATGATGAAGCAAACAGTTTCAAATTGTTACATAACTTAGTAATATGACTAAAGGAGAAACGACATTTTTGAAAAGCTAAAAGAATATGATAATTCTTAAGCCGTTTTAGTTGACAATTACAACTTTTTCTTTTGCATTGAGTAATACAAGTTTGCGATAAAGTGCTCAAACAGAATTAATTGCTGACTGATATTAAAAATTCACTGGGAAGGTTAGAGTATTCTTTACAGACGAAATAAATCCGTATTACAGAGACTTTGAGTAAAATATACTTTCCAAAGCATTTGAATACAAAATAATACCAGAAGTTTGGACAAGATTTGGTAATAAAGACGAAAAATTTGAAGCATCGAATTTCGTTTCTGGCACGCCATCATTCGGAACCACTGAGCTTGGCTCTACCACAACAGATTGACGGCGCGTACCATTTGTTTCTGAAAAAAAAACCTTCCAAAAAAAAAAATTTGGAACTTTAGATTTTCTAATCAGTGAATAATCTTGCTATTCATTTTAAAAAATCGGAAATATCAGGAATACTGAAAAAAAAATATTCGAAAGGAAAATTTGAATATATAATATGATAAAAGTTATATTTTCTCAGATAGCTGCGTCTATATTTTTTTTTATGAAGACCTATAAAATAAATCAGTGTACCTTATGAAAATTGCTTTTTTCTGCAGTTTTGCAGTCTTACCTAAACTTGTGTCAATTTCTCTTTTAATCGCATTTGCTGCTGACACAGTCAATGAGTTTTTACTTTCACTGTTGTCCTTATTGTTGCTACTATTCTTATTGGTGTCACTGTCATCACCGGGCAGTAACTGTGCAAATGAACTCAGATGACTCGCTGCAACAGCAGCAATATCCTTCATCGTAGAAGATGTCGCGGGTCCACACCAAGCTTGGCTTGCTTCCATTTCTTTTTTGGCAGTTTATGATTTTCTTGAAAGAAGAAAGAAATGCAATTATAATATTTTTTTCTTATGATAGCCTATGAATTTATCGTTTATTGATTTATTTCAAATTTAGAAGTGATAAGGTTACTTACCATTTATTCATGAACACCGAACTCTCAAAAGAAGAAACCGTTGTCTTATCTTATCAATTTACCAACATAACTAAATAAACCAGTAAATGATAATTTATGACTCCGTTGCTAGCAAAAACTATTTATCAGGTATTGAGATTATATGTTTAATAGTTGTTTTGATTTCACTATTAGTGCAAAAAGCTTCATTTCCAACATTTTTCCGGCAATTTACTTCTTCCACATAAATGACAAAATCTTAAGAAACGAATAATATAAAATTAGATTTGAAAGGAAAATCAAAAAAATTATGAAATTTCAAGTAATTAAGTAACAGCAAAAATAATTGAGGAAAGAAAAAGTAAACAGTAATTTTAGTTAGGGGCTTCCGATAGATTGACTCTGACAAAATGATGGTGACAACTAGCAGTGAAAACGACAAATGAAGGAGAGGGGTAGGATAGAAGGAGAAGGAAGTTTGATTTGATGACTTTGCTACCGTAACCAATAGATGAATGCTCTCATTCCGTGAGCCATCGAAGTACGACTGATGAAACTTTTATTTGGAGCGAAAGAAAAAACAAATTTGGGAGCAATTTGAAACTGTGAATATCAAAATCATATTTTACTTATTAAGCATTTAATATCTTGTCCATCCCTTTCTATTGCTTTATTCTTGTAACTTATTGATCAACCAATTTATTTAAGATTGCTTTTAGTTTGATAATTAACAAATGCATGCTATTTTCGAATTGTCAACAATTGGCTTGGTCAAATGTTTTCAAAATAATAAAATTCGAACGTTCAGAATTTTCACATTCATAAGAAAAGTTCCATATCAAATTAAAGTTCCAAAAAGGTCATCCATTGTTAGCATTTTATGATTAGAGTAACATTTGTTTTTTAGTTGAATGATCCCATCAATCACTTTGAGTCATCCTTGTCAAATCTATATGTAATTGGTTAGCGTATGCATTTGTATTTGTAGATTATTTTGCTAATGGTAACCTATCGGCAGTACTGGAGTGATCATCATTAACCACAAAAGATATCTATCGTCTTCCCCATCAACCATTGCATATCACCACTGATAAAGTCGTTATCTCTTCCATTCCCGAATCATTTTATCACATTCGAGCAGTTCTCACCCTGTTGCTTTCCCTTTCGTCCTTTTTAAAATTTATTTCATCTCTATAAAACTAAATTTCTTGCCAACTTTTTAAAGAAACCAGCAAGGTATGTTTGTGTTTTTCTATTTGTTTTGATCACTGAACACAATATTATGAATAGCGTCTGCAACAGATTTCGAATTCAGTGCTCACTTACCATTTGATCAATTGATACATCAATATTTCTTATTAAGATAGAGAGTTTTCAATCTAGCTTTATCTAAAATTACCTGGTACTAATTGCGGATTTATGAAACAGACTTAGTTTGAACTTAGCTACCTGTCTTCATACGAATCTCAGAATCAAATCAAAACGGCCAAAAACGCTTAGATAACTGTGCAGAATGAAGTGGAAAAAAGCCAAGAATGATATGCAAGGTCAACAATATTTATTGTGCTAGTAGAGAGGCAATATAATAATACTAACAGTATCAGTTGCATGCATATATACTTTTTTGCACTTCGATGTTTGTATTTCTGTATGAAAATGGTCCAAAAAGACCAGATTTCTATTTTTTTAAAGTAATTTCTTCATAAAGATCTAAATAATGTTGTCGACATATTTAACAATACAGTACTTTTTGACTCTTCCTTAGGTAAATGTTTATTCTCTGATGAAATCATCACAACATTCGGTGATGCAACAACTGTCAACCTTCAGGATTTTACAATTGAAAGACATAGATAACCGATAACTAACTCTAACTGTACTAAAGTAATAGAAGAGGAGATTATCTTAAATATACACTCTTTGAAATTTCGTTTTTTTTTTTCTTTTTTTAAACAAATGACTCTTTTGTATTTATGGAAAAGTATCTGGTGAAAAACCCTAAAAATCGGTCGATTTCTATAATGTATTGACAAAAGCAATAATGCTTGCATATATTGTTTCCATTATTATACCTTCATGAAAAGTAATCATTTCAGAATGTCCACCTAAAGGTTAATTCTAACTAACAGTTCCATGAAAATTTTGTTGCTTAGCTTTTAAAGAATTTACTGCCAAAACGTTACCATATTTCATGAACAAATATAACAAACGTTTTTCTCTTCTTTCTCTTTTGGTATGTTGGATAGCCTTATCAGTCAGCAAGCAAATGATACTTGATAAGGATTTCGTATTACTATGTAAACAAATACAGACGCGTAGGAATACATTCAATAAGACACTATAATTTGCTCTCATCAAATTGCATTACAATTAGAATTAATCAATGATCATTTTGCACCGAAAACAATTTATCGGTTTTCAATGCTAAGAAAATTTTATAAGGATAATTATTACGCTTATACAACACCAGGACAACGTCATGTAAAAAAGTATTTCCGACAAGCATACGCGAATGTATGTTTTCCAAATTACTTTTTCTACAACACATACTCTTTCTTATCATTCTCGAGATATTTCAGGACATAATGTGTTTAAAATCTAATATTAACTCATTCCAAAAATTTCAATATTATTTAGCCATTTTTAGCTAAAATTTCGACAGAAATATTGTGCGTAAATTTTTTGATGAATTTAGAACTAAGAATAGAAAGGGAAACAAAAAGAGCAATATTGATTTACAGTTTAAATATGTATGTACTAATTATCTGATAAAATTTTTAATCCGATCTTAAAATCTTAAATCTAGAATTAATCAATGATCATTTTGCAAAATTATCTTTCGATAGCAATAAGAATGATTCTGAGTCTGTCGTCTATGTACCTCGCATATTACATCCATTGGATGGATGACAGGTTCAACCATTTCATCAGCACCACAAATTTTTACAATACATGCATCCTTACAAACGGTTTCAATAATGAATTCCCTCAATAAGGTTTGTTTAATTTGTACTAAAGAAGTTCAATTTTTGAGGATTTTTTTGTTCTGATCCTTTAATTCAAAAATATTCCAATTTCTCAGCAAATGGGATGAACTTATAGTTTATGCATATACTTCTAAACCATACATTCACATCCTTATAAATTCGTGTATATATGCTGTCCCTTAGTTTCTCGGCAAGATTTTCAGTCCATCTTAGATTCTTAATCCTTTTTCGCTACCCAACCATAAGATTAGACATCCTCAGAAAAAAATGAGTCGTGTGTGCATGCGGCCAACTGTCGATTCACCTCCACTTCAAGTGCATTTTTAGATTAAAGCAAAACGAAATTGGTAAAGAATGATGCGATGCAGTAATGAATCTGCGGTTAGGAGCATGATCAAGCTGTAGGCTACATAGTCCCTTACCCAGTCTCCATTATATCCAAAACTTCTGATTTGGAATATCAAGTGATCGAAATGTTTGCATGTTTCGATTTCATAGCATAACTGAGAAGCATGAAATAAATTTAGGGTAAACAGGGCATGAAGCTACTCAACACACGTTTCCACTAACAATCTGAGCTATCATCGCTCTGCGGACAATGTTATACACCAAATGCTAGCAAAAATGAAATATTTATCACAATAACATGACATACAATGTTAGCATTACAGACAACCTGCAAATAAGATAATTTTCTTCTTCTTTCGCTCAGAATTAGAATTCAAATCCCAAAAATAATTATCAGGGCTGGCAGTTGTACATGTCGCACTGCGCAGTAGTTCAAGAACTATTACATTCCTTGACATGCATAACTTCGCCGGCGTTGGTCAAAGTCATGAAAAATAAAAATAAAAGAACGTGGAGGAAGTCCAATAAATCAAATCCATCAATTTTCCCATACTGATGAAATTCTTATTCTTCTTTTCTCCCGAACTCATCATTACGGGTTATTGCGGTATTGATACGCATACATACCATTTCGCCCAAATAGCTAAAGCTGTGAAAATATACAAACATAAAAACGGAATAAACCACATAGATGCAATTTACAGCAACAGAATTACTTTCAAGGTGCATCAATTCAAAACAGAGAGGAATCGACTATGCAGCTTGTACTTTCGACCTTTAAATACTTTAAAAAAGAACATCATGTAATTTTCTTCAAAAATTCGGTCTCCCTGAAACAAAGAATGTTCAAACAAATGGAAGCTCTCATTCACTCCTTAACAAAAAGACCGAGAAAAACAACTAAGACACTGCAGTACAACTATCCTGAATTTAGAAAATTTCCAATCTATTCTAAATTTAGCAAGTCCTCTTGAAAACTTAAAATTCTAAATAGATGAAATAGTCTTTAAAAGCACATATTTTGCAAAAAAAAAAAAAAAAAAAACAATATTCAGACTATAATTTCACCACGAATTTCAGATTTCGAAAAAAAAAGATTAAACTTGTCTTATCATATGAATCCAATGGCACATCTTATTTCTGGCAGAAAAAAATAGAATAGTATATATAAAAATGTCCATTTCAGGATTTCTAAAAAATTCTTTCTTTGCCAGTTTTCCCTCTGCATGCATTATAAAAATAGATGCCTACTCCACGTCACAAAAAACAGAAGTCCATATTCTGCCATCGAAATAGTACAGACGGTGCAGTACAAAATCACCAGAAAAAAATAAACAAAACAAAACAAAACAAAAAAAAAGCATTAGAATTGCCTTTTCATGAAGTTACAAAAAATACCAAATATTTCGTCTAATTCAGCTTCTTAAAAGACAATAACTGGAAATAATCAGAAAGTCTCCAGACTACAAACCTCAACACATTCAGTTTGAATTTCCCGCTTTTATTAAAGTGAAAAACAAGAGAAAGATAATTAACTTCATGGAATCTACACTAT